TTGATGAATGTTCTAATAAAATCTTATAAATAAGTATATCTTCCGTATAATAGTGTGTGTCATTCATGCTGCAGGCTTGATAGATAGTACGTTTTACAATTATTATTTAAATTTCGTTTTGTTTTTCTCTCTTTTGGGGGCGGGAGGCGGTGCTGTTGACTAAGGGAGATGGAAGCAATGCAAATCGCCTACGGAATGCTAATGCAGATTCACTTGAAAAAAAAACCAAATGAAAACATGCCATAACCTAATTGCTAAAACAAACGGAACATGCTGCCATAATAAAAATATTAACTTCAGCGAGAAAGCACCTAAGCAACTCTAATATGAAACAAACAACTGCCAGCATGACTTGCCTCTCGTTGCAACAGGTCAAGCGTATTCGCGACGCCGACTATAGCATTTTCCTTTCTAAACAGTACGCCTAAAATTTCCGGCGTTTATTCTGTCCAGTATTGACGTGTATAAACAATGTAAACAACCTTCGCAGTCAAACAGAAACGTGTCGAACTGGGAGCAGATGTAACGCCAAACGCTAGGATTTAATCGAATCATGGAAACGTAGAACAGTCGAATACGACAGTCAGGGGCGGTAAGTGATGACAGTCTCCAAAAGACTTCAAAAAATTCGAAACTACAAAAACACAACTTTGGTATTCACAGCTGTGCTCGCTAATGACGAGCGATTTGAAGAATACTGTATGATGGCAAAGCATTGTTTAAGAATGGTGTACGCAAACGCTATTGCAGAATCACATTTATAAATGATATACATTTGGAGATTTAATAGAGTCAATTTTTAACCTGGTCATCTGTTCGCTAAACATAATCACCATTGCAAGTTAATAAAACAAAACATGATCAACAGCCCATGACAATTTGATAATTCTTGAAAACAGGTCACATATATTATTTAGGAACTGTTCAAAATGCCCTCAAAACCTATCGGGACAGTAAGCGCTTTACAGAAGAAGTGTCGAATGAATCGCCGTCTATGCACTGCCTTTGTTTAAATTAAAGCTTAAGACCATTAATTTATTAAACATATTCTTTCATTTGATTGCCTAAATTCTTTAGTCCAAAATCAGAGAAGTACATAACCACTGCCACATCCGTTGCAAGATCCACTACGGTCCGAAGATGGCAAGTTATCCGTGAAAAGTGTCAAAACCTGGAGTGATCAACACCGTTTTTGGATGAAAAGCTCTGCATAGAAGCTTAGAATGCGTCCTATTGTTAATGAATATTAATGTGTTGATTTTAGAAGAAGGTAGAAATGGCGTTGCAATCAGTTTCTTACGTGAGATGCGAGTTTAAATAGTTCAAATTATGAAAGAGTTAATTACGTAACAATCAGTCATACTGACCGGAGTTAGTAAGCACTTTTATCCTAATTGATCATACTTTTTGTTCGTTTCTCCGTGACTACTTCCAAACTCTTTTTCTCCACTAACTGAATTAAATATTAATTTCCGGCTTTCTGCAAAGACTGATCAATTAAACTGTCACTGAGGTGCTTAAATCGATGGAGACAATGAGGAGTTTCGTTCGCCATTTTCTTTTCCCCCATAGGCTATCATACAGTGAAGGTCTATCCGATTCAACGTCTGTTTAGTTTAAGGTGTGCTTGTTCCTCGCAAATGTCTTTATCGGCAATTCGACTTGCATAGTTGTTGATGATAATGAACGCAAAAATCATTAGTTTGACTCTAAAGATATATGGAGAAAAATCGAGAGTCCCGCAAAATCAGTTGAAACTGAAGTTTGCAGCTATGCTACGACAGATTCTAGTACCAAATGTTTTGCAGTAATGTCTATTCTATTTCTTTCTAATCCGGAGCAGCGCTGCCGTAAATAGGTAATTGTAACTTCCCTGCCAACTTATGGTGTGCGTGAAACGAGCCACATAAAAGGATAAGGATCTTGCCAAAAACCATGCATCAACAGAACATGTCTGATATATATTGCAGATGGTCCGTCAGTATACGACCCAAAGACAAAGCGAGGGAAAATAGCGGACAGTTTGGCCAGTTGTAAACAAGGTGGCATGGTAGCTGTTTGGAGTCCAGCCTTATAATGCATTTAACTTAAGATACTGCAGACCTGTCGGAAAAACTTCTTTTGGAGATTGCACATGTGGGGATTTCTACCTAACTGAATGATGCAGCGGAGTAAAAATGAACCCAAAAGATTTTATTGGATCTTTTGATTATTCTAATATTTGGATACGATAGGTCACATTATCCTTAACATAACGTATCCTTATACTATGCAACTCGTTGCAATTCAAAATTAAATTTCATTATCCGAACTTGATCTATCCAGCTTAAGTAAGTTCAGGTGATTTATTGTGTGAAAAATAATATACAGTTAGAAACCTAAAGAACCACTTTTTATTAAACACGTAACTTTTGTAACCCAAAGCTGGTTCCTTCTTTAGCGTATGTTTCCATTTCTTGAATAAAACGTTTGCTTCATGATAAAGAAAATGTGTCCTGTCGATCTAAATATTATAGGGTAAAATTTTCAGAACCACATTGAAAGCAATAAAATTATTCAATTGATTCGTTTCATTGGCCCATTTTCGTGTAAACTCGCGAATGGAGCAGTGTTAGACAATGACCCCAACGTTCTCAGTAGTGCGGCAGCCGCTAAGCTTCAGCCGAAGATAACCGGAGTCAGGAGCAGAATCTGCTCATCCACTTTCCCAAGGACGTTCTTAGCCTTTGGCCAGTCGGTCGAGTCAAGTCGTGACTGTTTCATCTTCTGTTATTGTTTTCTAATAGCATTCGCATATTGCGCACTTTGGCAGGACTACACAATAATGCCACACTGTCCTTATTGTTCGTACATCAACGATGTATCTGTTTTTCGGCTGGTTGCTTCGAGCGCCCAGTGGACTGAATGCATTGCTCAATGTAATTAGCAGTTAAAGGGAAAATATGTATCTTGCACACAGGATTTGAAACCAGCTCCTTCGAAGTTCAAATTAACCTTTTAACCCATAATGCAACTACTCCCCTCCCCACAAGAAAAACTGAATAATTTGTTAATGAAAATTTTATTCTGTCAACATACCGTGTGGGTTATAGCAAACGGTTAAGCTGTGCATTAGCATTGTCCTTTATCGTTGAAAAGTAATTGAGTCCTGTGTATAATAGCAATAAATACAACTGATCTTTCAGACATGCTGTACCTGTCTGTAGAGCAACCGTCGGATATGGTCGAAATGTGAACTGTTCTAGTAAGATCTTTGTAAGTGTCAGAACGTCTGTGCATATATTACCTTGTTGCATTAAGAACATCGTAAACTGCGTCATTATTTTTTGCATTAAGAAATATAACATACCAATGTATAATCTGTATAATCCTTATTTTCTGTATGTATCGAAAGTGTTTATTCACATCGTATCCTTGCTGCCGCTGAAGAAAATTTAGGATGATCTGAAATGTTGCAGAATTTATCCATAATAAATTTTATGTGCGGACTAATTCTGTAAAGTACTTGTGCTGTATTGAATTAAATTCTCGAATAAAAGAATCCGTCTCGTGTCTATTTGCCTTAGACTCATGATGGAGCCGTTTCCGGCGCCTTTTCTTTCATGAAGTTGATGATGGGGCGCCGATTTCCATTCTGTGCAATCACCCAAGAGTGCTTTATTTTTCTAAAGGCATAGTCGACAGTAATTTTGTGAGAAGCAGGATGTGTAATCTCTTGATTTTTTTACCTCGGAGTGATATGTATTTTCAGCCTCAGAAAGAAGCAGACAAGTAACCCCGATTGGGACTGGAACTGAGTTCGTCTAAGTTCTTAATCTATTGCTCTTCTGACTTAGCAATGCTGGTTAATGTTTGCTGCAGTTCGCCTTTGATCCACGTCGTAGTTGACTATTCATTGTGATGAGGTAAAACTGGAAGGTGTAGAAGGTATAACCCCTGTTGTAGACTGAATGCTATTTAGCTGTCTTGTTTCGATTATTCGCTTTTATATTTTTTTACTTAGCTCTGCGATGAAAAATTATTCTTCTTCGTCTAAGGTAATTTTTATTTTTCAGTACGGAAAAATTCAAAGAATGAACCATGAGTCGCTGGAACGACCTGCTAAAAGGATGAAGTCTGTAGGGGACGTCTCCGGTTCACTTGATCATGGATACTGGACCTCGTCGAAAACTGGTCCATCGCCGGGTCACACCACAAAAGTCGCATCGTTCAAGTTAGAAGAAGTTTCGGATTTCCATAAAGCACTGACCATGATGGACAACGAGTCACTGGCAGTCCAGTGCGGCGACGAGACTCCTTCGCGTACCCCTGCGGACACCTTAGCCGCCGGTCCATCTGAACTTGGAGACAATTGTTCACCGGATGATTACAGTAATCTGGATATTTGTCACTCTGCCCATTTCATTGGTACTTGGTGTACTCGTAGATTAGTCAAAATTTAGTCGAATCTAATTACTCTGCTTTTTATATTGTGCTTTTTTTAGACGGAAAAATGAAGCATCGTTTCAGATTGCGAAAATACCATACTTTAAATATAAATGTTGTCCCTGATTTGAACCTCTTTTACAGTTATTAGATAGACGTAGTTATTCATTCATCGTCATAGTCATAAATGGTATTGCTCCTAAAGGTCAAAGTGACAGCATTTACTATATTTTCTACGGCTCATACCTATTTACTGAGCTACCTTCTAGCCATTCAGGTATATTATCAACTGATTCAGCAGTTTGTCGTTGTTTCGGGTTCATTTCCTGATGATGATCGATGCAGTTCGGTTCAAACTTTGGAATTTTTGTAAATAAAACTATTTTATCTTGTTTTATGGTGCTGCCAACCATTTGGAATACCGTTGACTTTCATCAACATTCACTGACATGGGACTTGTTACGACAGTGGCTAAGAGGTCGCTTCTAAATTCGGAGGTGCCGGGTTCGATTCTACTCGAAGAACGATCTTTGTCTTAACGCTGATTCCTTTGTGCAAGGAGTTTATTACCCCGCCGTTGCTTCGGTGCAATCAGCCGAGAAACGGGTTGTAATTTGGTGCTTGCGAAAGTTAAAGACAATATGGTATTCTGATGGGTCATGGCAGAATGGAGGAACTGTATGGCCATGCCAGAGCCCTCGAGGCTGCAGTTCTCCTTCACCCATTTGATGGCTGGCAATCCTGTGTAATAATCAGCATAATATGTAACCCCAGATTCGATTTCAG